GCTGGCTGTCGAGGAGTCGCTCGACGCGGTCGAGGCCGCACCCGCAGTCAAGTTGCCCCCGTAGAAGACTGAGTACTGCGTAAGCAACTGATCCACGTAGACATAGCATGGACACACGTACTGTACTTGGAGACGTACTTCACGGAAATGTCCGCCGTCTGGTCGAACACACACTGCAAGGCACAGTCAGAATCACATAAATCCCGGCCATCCGCGCTTGTCACTCACCGAAGCGGGAGGCTGGCCGCCGCGGGTGTCCACGCGGAACACCTCGCTCGCTATACTGCCTTCCACGTTGACCACGTCCAGCCAGTTCACATCCGTCGTCGCGTTCGTAGGCGCGGGGAGCGAGCCTTTGCCCTTGGCGATGATGAACGCGTCGGGATTACTCTGGAATGAGCCCGAGGACGTGAAGTCCCATTTCGGGGAGACGCCCATGCCCGTTGTGGGGTTCGTGACGAAGTAGTGCTGCGCGAGGACCTCGGGCGGGTCGATGAAGTGTAGGAGGTCGACAATCTCCTGTATGGACGCGCCGGTGAAGTTGGACCAGAAGGCGAAGAGCGGATCCTGGATAGTGTTGAAGACCTCAGGGACGGCGGTGAGACAGGAGACGTCAATAAGCTCTGCGAATGCCCCGACGTTTCTGCACGAGTAATGTCAATGCATATTGACATGAACGCCACTGAGATGCATACTCACGTGAAGTTGTTGGACGACGTGCAGGTGTAGTTCTGTACACCAAAGGCGAGACCGATGAACGAAGGTACGGTGTTGTTCGGTACCACCAGCTGAGTCTGGTTTGGTGGGAAGGTCGGGACAAACGCCGAAACGTTGCAGCTATGAACTTGGAAGATGTCCGACACGTTGCCGCTCCATGATGAATTGCTCATAGAAGTCGTGTTGCTTGTGCTGCTGTACTTGTTATCATACCCTTGGAAGGCTGCGACAGCAGCACCGAAGAATGTGCCATGACGATGACCAGAGATGGCGACCATGACGTGCGTTTAATCGGCGTGAATGACGAGAACCAAATGCAATGAAGGTAGTGTAGGGTGCAGGTCAGAGACCGTCAGATGACAGAACACGAAAGTGAGTGATGGCCAGAGTTCGACGAAAGTCTAGCAGTCTATATAGGAATCAATCGCAGAGGTTTGGGGCCGGATTAGAAAGGAGGGATAGAGACGATCGTGTTTCAAGCTATCCAGATGTCCCGCTCGGAGACCTCGGCTACGATCCTGCGTACAGCGTTAGAAAGGCAAGCGAGCCTGTGCATCGCATTTAAAGCAGAGAATTGTGAGGTACCCGACGCGCGCCTCCAGAGGTTCGTGCAGCTTGCTCATTACGTCCCGATAATCGAGCCATAATACGTCGCTGAACAATAGCCAGCAGGAAATCTATTGTCTGTGCAGACGTGCAAAGGGCAATGAGTATTGTCCTTTTCCCGCACCTGGCGGCGCAAAGCGCGGATTAGGTAGTGTATCAGATATTCACGACAAACATTGATGGCAGGGTAACAATAAAAATCGGCTCTTTTCACGTTGGCTGTGATAGGCCCGAGTCGATCGTAGAGAGCTGTGGACGCAGGTTGATGCTGTGCATTTGCCTTGAACCTGATGCTGTGCGGATGGATTCCGTAAAGCATTACAGAGGTGAGAACCTTTTCCGAATGAAAACGCCACTAGAGCTGCTGAGCGGATCTTCGAAACTTGTCAAAGAGACTGCCGCAGCGCTGCACCGTGGCAGACCATGGCCTAAAGATCACGAGGAAAAGTTATTTGGACACCCGCGGCAGCCAAAGCATGCCTTGCCGATCCCGCCATCAATTTCCCAGAAAGGCAATCACCTTCGAGCGCCCTCGAGCGCTCGCTTCAAACAAGGTCGCCTCAGCAGGTTAGGTGTGTCCCTCGGAGATCATTCTAAGGCAGCTGTGGCTTATCCACTATCCAGGTTTTGATGGTACTTGGCTTGTACTGCAGAAACATTGCATCAGTAGAACTGCCAATTGTCTAAGCCGAGGTGACTGCATGAACTTGCTCCGATGCCTTCACCCTGGATTCTGCTACTGTCATTGCTCTGCGGCATCCTGCTAACTCCTTTCTCTTTCAACGTGGAACTGCTCTCATTAGCCCCGAAATCCGCCACATCATGGCCACAAACTGGACACATTCTCCTGCTCACAGCCCATCCGGATGACGAGAGCATGTTCTTTGCGCCAACCATCCTCGGGCTGGCAAACAGTCACACTACAGCTTCTCGCAATTCTCCAACTCTGTTCTCTTTGTGTCTGTCTGTTGGAAATGCAGACGGGCTGGGTGATGTGCGCAAGCAGGAGCTCGAGCGGAGCCTTGATGTCCTAGGCATCGGCGCAGGGCGCAGGTGGATTGTCGACCGACCGTACGTGTCTCCATACCTTTGCACAGGCTCATTCGCAATTGGCAGCACAGCGACCTGCAAGACAACATCACAGCCTCGTGGGACCCGCGTACCGTCGCAGACGTCGTGCGGCCGTACGTGTTCGGGCAGAACATCACCACCGTGCGTCTCGTTCCCAAACGCCCACTCCGCCATGCGCGTGCCTCGCATTTTCTAACGCACTTCCAACCATCCCAGATCCTCACGTTCGATGCGGACGGCATATCCTCGCACCCAAATCACGTCTCGCTCCTGCACGGCGCTTCGCACCTCATCACCTCATGGTCCTCGCCCTCAGCCGCTGCTCGTCCCGCGCCCCAGCTCTACGCACTTACCACCGTCCCCCTTGCTACCAAATACACCGGCGTGCTTGGCGCGCTCGCGGTCCACCTACGTCTGCGCGCCCTTGCGCTCATACAGCTGCTTTCAACATATGGGGAAGCACGAGAGCGCACGTCCGGCGCGCCGGCGTTCGTCTCGGGCGTGCGGGAGTACCGCGCTGCGCTGCGCGCGATGCAGCAGCACCGCTCACAGCTGGTATGGTTCCGCTGGCTCTACGTTATCTTCTCGCGATACATGTGGGCAAATGAGTGGGTTGCAATCGCGCCCGCGCCCCACGCGCCCACTGAGGTGTAACCCGGTAGCAGCACGTGCAGGGGATCTCGGAGTAGTGTACATGTCTTGCAGTCCGATACATTGCAATTGGGTCCAGATATCAGATACCATCGTCACGTCTGTGCTCGCTCCTGCGTTTCGTGCTAGTGGGGGACGCCTCCCTTCGCGACACCCACCCCGGGGGCATGCACTACAGAGGTAAAGCTTGCAATCCAGCCTCGCAACCAGCCCACGCCATGACCCTCGTACTGCGGCCCATCCGGGCGTCCCGAACCAGCTGCCCACCACCGTCTGAAGCGTGCGCCGGCGGCCGCACCTAGCGGACGCAAATAATCGCCCAGCAATCCCCTGTTAATGCCGCGTCCCGTGTAGGGTCCGTCAGACTGCACGGCATCATGATGTAGGAGAGTAGACGCACCATAGCGCGCCTTGGATGAGCGGTATGAGGACCTGGTCGCGCGTTGTGATCCATCCGACGCGCCCCCAGTCGACGCGGACGACCTCTGTCGAGGCAGACGAGACGACCACGTCCCCCGCGCCTTCTTCCTCGCCTTCCTGCACACGCCCCTTGCCCTTCTCGTCGTGTGCGACTACGGCCGCGATGGTGCGCTCGACATGCACATATGGTGCGACGCTCCGGAGGTACGAGGACTCGAAGCGGAAATCTGGGACGGGCCGTGGATGATGGGCGTGATGCGAGTGAGGGTGCGGACGCTCCAGCTTTTGTTCAGATATATGGGACTCGTATACGTAGCGGCGGCTGGACTCGAGCTCAGGTTCGTCGTGCATGTCTGCGAACGCTATGGCTAGTTGGCACCAGGTCGGCCAACGATGGTGCTTGTAGCAGGACCCAGGTGCAGCAGCTCCCGCCTGCGCGTCTACTGAGATGATATCACGTGATTTTCAGCGCCGAGCATGGGTGGGTCACGGTTGCGCAGTGCGCAATACTTACGATGCGTTGAGCGACGGCCGTCGGTCGAAACATTGGACAGAGTCCGGCATCTACTCACGGGAAGGATACTGATGCGTGCATAACCAAACATGTTCCAGTGAAAAGGTCCCAATGCGTATTTTCAACCCGTGATATCGACTCCGAGGCTGCTTGATAAGTAGCACTTGTACATCTTGCCTTACGGCTGGTCCCACCTCGCAAGTCCTCCGTGCATCAACAGCTTCAGTAAGATTTGGCATAATAATATACATTACAAGTGATGCTATACAACAACTCCGTCTTGTCCGATGTTAAGCCCCCCCTCTTGTAGTAGTGTTGTACAAGTAGTGTAGATCACGGCTTGCGCTCGCCCTGCATCGTCGCCCTGACGTCGGCTGAGGTCATGCGCGCATCACTTGTGGTGGCATTTAGGTTCCCTCCTCCCTCCTTAGCAGTCTCTGCAGTTTGGAGACAAGTCAGAATAGTCCATCGCACGAAAGCCAAAAGAAGACGTACTATAGATCGACACAGGTCCCTCCTCACGCTTCGTTTGTACACCAGCAACGTACATATACCCTAGAGTCGCTGCAATCGCAGACACCATGCCGATCGCCTGCAACGATATCGTTCTGAGATATGAAAGTGAGTGAGGGGTATCTTGTGGCAACGCACCAAGCCCTTTCCCTTGCCGCGTGGCCTCGTGCCCGCATTAAGGTTCGTCAATGGCTTCGGATGTGAGGACATGGTTGGTAAAATTGTGAGGTTTTTTTATGAAGGGAATGTGTATAGGAGTTTGTGGTTGAAAGTTAAGAGCACTCGTTCGAACGGAGTACTACTTACGGGTAGGAGACCCGACCCTGTCCTCAGTGACGTCATATCAAACGCTTGGTGAAGTTGGCGCGAACGGCAGCAACGTAGTAAACGTGGCATTCCATGCATTTGATGTGGGATAACTGGGTGGTTATGATTACTACCATGATTCTGAAGAACTCAAGATGAAACGCAGAATAAAAGAAAAAAATCAATCCGTGCGAACGCCACACGCTGACAATAGGGTTCGAACCTATGCGGGCGATGCCCAAGTGATAGTGAAATGCACGTTCGGCCATTCAAATCACTCGCCTTAACCACTCGGCCATATCAGCTAACTCACAACTGCCCATCTCTTTACTCTATCGCCAGAGCGCAAGGTCAGTGGATCGGAACTCATGAGAGACTATCACGATATAGCTGCTAAAGTCGTTTCATGATCGAAATAAACCTGGAGAACTCCCGAGTCGGATAAAGCAACTGAGTCCCAGCGTATTGTCCGAAATATCGTGAACGATGAACTTATTCGATGATTGAATTTGAGGAGGGCGCTTGCGGGGTGCTACTAACAGGGCGCTTGAGGTATATAGGGTTGACAGTGCCTCTCACCTCGGAGTCTTCATCGCCCTCCTCCCCCCATTCCGCTGAGCTTGCGCCAGCTTTCCCTAGAGATCACATACATACCCCCGAGCAATGCAAGTGCAGCCGCAACACGCACGCCTTAACACTTACCACGGCACCAAACGGCAACTGCTGGGCAACCAGGCGGGGCAGGCGCCCCCAGCATGGCGCGTGAACCAGACGGCGCAGGCAAAAAAGGCGGTCGGATCGTCCGCTGTGGACTCGGGGAGCAAGATCTTATTGAGCAGGCTGCCCTTGGATGTCTCAGAGGACGAGGTACAGGTGTGTCTGCGTCGTCGGCATTGGTGCCAGGATGATCGTGGCTCGTGCAGCCACTCGTCCTTCGGACTCGCGCAGCTGATTCACTCGCGGCTTATGAATAGGTGCTCTTCGCTAAGACTGTGGGGCCAGTGAAGGATGTGTTCCTGGTGTATAACTCCCAAGGGCGATCGAAGGGCATGGCAGTCGTGACCTTCCAGCGCTCAGCAGACGCGACCGTCGCGCGGACAAGGTACAACGGCAAGATTGTTGACGGAAGTCAGTGTGGGCGTGGCACCCCGTACATTCACACTGATTTCTAGGCGCAGAACGTCCGATCAAGATTGAGATAATTGTCGACAAAGATGCACCCGCGCAAAACGCTCTGGCAGTCCCACAATTGCCGTCTCTCCTCGCACGACTAGGGGGCGTCGCTGTCCCAACACCATCGGTCAAAGGTGCTCCCAGTGGTAATCGTGCTGCTGTGAACGGCGCAGCACACCCACCGTGCGTGACCTAACAGTGTGCTAACTAACACTTGCTCACACCCCGCGTAGTAAATTTCAGAAAGCAGCAGGAAAAGCAGCGGCAGTACCTCGCGCTGCTGCACAGCCTACCACTACGAAGGCGAAGCTACGCGCAAAGAAGGGCCCGAAGCGCGTGAAGAAGAAAACGATAGCAGAATTGGACAAGGAGATGGAAGACTACCGAGCGACTGCAGACACCGAGATGGACGCCGCAAGTTGAACGGGTTCCTTCGTGTTTCCTTCCTTTCTTTCGCCATTTTCTCATGTTTTATATGTCCTTCGTGCTGCGCATACGACTCTCTGGGTTCTCCGTCCTGAGTTTCGACCATTCTCCAGCTTCAGGCTGCTGCTGTAAATACTGTATCCTGCTGTGTTATCTCATCTGATAAGATAAGATGAATGAATGCTGCGACCGGGCAGCGCGCTGCTGGGAGCGGACGCGGGTCGTCCGAGCTGCTTGACCCTGGACCTCATCCACTACACGAGCCATGGTCGCACCGCTATACACGACCGCCTCGGGTCTCCTCTTCCATGCCGGAAAGATCCTCGTGCTCACCGTCGGGCTCCCCGCGCGGGGCAAGACGCACATCTCGCGCGCGCTGGAGCGCTATCTGCGGTGGACAGGTGTGAAGACGACCGTCATCTCGCTGGGGGACTACCGCCGGAAGGTCCTCGGCGGCGCGCAGAAGGTCCCGCCGGACTACTTTACCCTTGGTACGCCCCGCGAGTTGTCGTGCGTGAGCCAGTGTAACCGTTCGCAGGGCCAAAGAGTCCCGAGACGCTTGCGCTCCGCCAGAAGGTCTCGGACGGCTGTGAGCAGCTCATCTGGGATTTCTTCGACTCGGGCGGCCAGGTGGTCATCTATGATGCCAACAATGGGACCAGAGAGCGCCGCCAGACCATTGCGGAGAAGTTCGACAAGGCAGGGATCCATATCGTCATGCTAGGTCCAGCGTTATCTGTTCGCATGGGTTGCGGTGTATTCTGAGACGACTTAGAATCCCTGTGTGATAACGAGGAGCTTATCATGGCGAACATACGAAGTGTCAAGATCTCGTCTCCTGATGTATGTCCTCCGCGGCCCATATCTGGTGTATATCGGGACGCTAAACGAACGGCGAAGTACCGCACCTGGGATCCGGAGAAAGCTGTCGCGGACTACTACAGTCGTATCAAGAATAATGAAGCGCACTACGAGCCTGTAGAGGAGACTACTTGGCCATATATTCGTATCATGAATGTGAGCATCGCCGTTCTAACGGCGGTTTCGATGATCCCAAACCCCATATTTAGGTCGGTGAGAAGATCATGGTCAATGTAAGAATGAATCGTACTCCGCATTCGTGAATGTTCGCTCATTGGACTACCAGAACATCCGAGGTTATCTACAGGTATATTATAATGCGACAGTAATTTCGCATGTTCTAACCTGAACAACAGTCAAGAGTTGTCTTCTTCCTCATGAACATCCACAACAATTTCCGTACAATCTACTTCGCACGAGTACGGAGTCCCTTGTGTAATATTCCTTCGGTGTACTGATGGTCCTCACTCAGTCCGGCCAGTCGCTGATCGAGCATTCGTACAAAGCAGATTCAGACCTGTCCCCCGCCGGCTGGGAGTACGCCGCGCGCCTGAAGGAGTTTGTGCTCGATCGGCGTGCCAAGTCGCTCCAGCAGAGGGGCATCGACCCCACGACGCGTCGGCTCGCCGTACGTCTCGACCACTTGCCCGCCGCAGACCATGTCTCACCCTACATAGGTTTGGACTTCGGCTCGCCGTCGCTCCCACCATACTGCCTGGCCGTTCCTCAACATCACTGCGGACGATCCCGAGCCTCCCGCGAGGGTCAAGATCGTCGAGCGGCCCCAGATGAGCGAGATCAATCCCGGGGTCTGGGATGGACTCTCGCCGGACCAGGTGAAGAAGTACTACCCAGATGAATGGGAGAGGTTCGTCAAGGACCCGTACGCCTATCGCGCCCCGAGGGCTGAGAGCTACCACGACCTTTGCGGTGCGCATACTCAGCAGCGTGGCTACCTTGAACTTGTCTGATCACCGTGCCCGATTCACAGTCCGGTTGGAGCCAACGCTCGTTGAGCTCGAGCGCGAGCGGGAAGATCTGCTCATTATCGGGCATGCGTCGGTCATCCGCTGCATCCTTGCGTACCTCATCGGTCTCCCCGTGTCGGAGATCCCTGCGATAGAGGTCGCACGTGGTGACTTGATCGAAGTTGTCCCAACTTCATACGGCGTGTACAGTCAGGCGTACCACTTCTGGGACGGGCCCGGCCGTAGTGACAACGGCGGTGGTGTTGGCAAGGATGAGAAGAATTTTTACGAGAATTACGCAGAGGATACGCAGGGGAAGAGGAGGCCCGAAGGGTCATCGAATACCGTAACAGCATGATATTCCATCCGATCGATAGATAATACATTTGTAACATCATGTAGCAGTATAATCATTCCGGCCCATGTATCGCTTCGTGAGTTTTGTCAAGTGCGAACACTCTTGACACTAGAGCAGTCCTGCTCGATGTCGCCTTTCTTGTCGGAACCTGCGTCACTGGTTCTGGACGACGTCTCCTTTACGACGTCCATCTCGGATAAATCTACCTCCTCGAATGTCGCCGAGGCACCTTTTGCGGGGAACAGGTAATTCAGCGACCAGTATATGACGGCAGATACACCGAACCCTGTGAAGAAAGACATGTCGTATATTCTGGTGGCAGCTAAGGGGACTGCCTGACCGGCTGCAATTGCATCAAATTGAGTGTATCACTTGAACGCAATGATGATCACTTACTGGCGCCGGCGAAGCCAACAACGTTAATCAGGATTCCCGCGATGTAGGCAGTATATGCCCTAAAATACTCGAATCAGCTCTAGAAAGACATCACAGGCTGACCATAATCACCTGAAATTGACTCCATACGTGTACCAGTACCAGCCAGCTTCGTTCGAGTGGTACAGGTCCTTCATCCTATAGTGGCCTTTGCGGATAACGTAGTAATCCGTGATCTGGAAAATCTTGCGTAAATGGACAAGTGCGAGTGGCTACCACATCATATTCACCATGACGCCGGCGATGGAGCTGAGGAATACCGAATATGCCGACAAGTACGACGTGAAGTTGTTGCTGCTCTTCAGCAAATTCCACGGCAGCATACATAATCCAACGATGGCCGCCACGTAGCCCCCACGCCGGATGTTCTGATAAGTATTGATCAGTCATACGAGACCCCATGGGAAGTGATCAGACTGACAATGAATCGGGGCATCAGCGCCGTCAGATCACATCCAGCGCTAATCGAATTGGCGGAGATATTTGTTCTAATCGGCGCACATAAGCATTCGTGGATACGATCAAGGCGGATGGTACACTCACCCTAACTTTACTCCGAAGATCATGATGAGGGGTGAGATCATACCGACAACATTGGAAAAATACCTGCCTGTGCGATGATGAACGAGGCCGAGATGAACCATACCTGCGGAATCTGGTCAGCATGTCGCAGGTTGAGGGCGATGATACAACGCCTACACCGAATCTTGTAGCATGTGAAGGTGAATCATCCAAAAAGCGTCCCAGCAGATCGATTGGCGACCAGATAGCTTCCCCATAAATTGTCTGTGATGACGAACTAACGATTATGCCGAAAAAGCTGACGATCGAAAATCCCAGGGGAACGGAGATGAGCTGAGGGAGAACGGCATCTGATGGTTTTCTGGAACGAGATGCGAAATCCGGAGCGTTCCTGCAGGCGCGTTTTTCAACTCCGTCATCAGTACCGGCACTCTATCTCTTGAGACTCACGTCACTAGCGTTGCCATATTGCTGATACAGGACATGATGCTTGAAACCATCGACCATCCTAATGCTGAGCCCTTTTGTTGTGATGGTTGGTTGATGACGGGTCCGACCCCAT